AAGGGGGTGATTGAAGCCAAAGCCTTCAGAACATTTCTTAGAATCCACTTCCTATTCGAAAGCCAGCCTTCAAGTGCAAACATTAAACTAACCCTCCATAAGACACTGATTAGATTAATAATCACTTATTCCCGCCCAGCTTGGGAATTAGTGGCAGACACCTACCTCTTAAAATTGCAGCGCCTGCAAAACAAGGTTCTTAGCACTATAACAACATTTTCAAGGTGCACACCCGTCCGCGATTTGCACACGGTTTTCAACCTTCCGTATGATTATATAACAAAATTATGCAGGAAACGAGCAGAAGTGATACAAAATCATGAGAATGAACATGTTCGCCGCAGAGAACAAGGTGAAGCCAGACATAGAAAATAAGGGGCTTAAATTTGACGGTAGTCAAACTTATGACCGTTCAGGTGACTAAGGTGCCGTTGGAGCATAAGATAAGTAAAATAGGCATGGCCTGCTTTCCAAGGCCTGGACTAACAGAGAACTCACATAATGCAAAAGGAAGTATTTTCAATAACATATTATATGTGTTATACTTACACTTGACAAAGGCGGAGCCTATTGATAACAGACAAACCCATCCTCTCGTCAGAGAGGCTGTAACATAAGGACAATGATAGCAAGGGTTCCGTTGAGAAAAACATCTCTTGTCGTGAGCCCTAAGAGGCTTGGCGCCATGGTGATCCCTTCTATCTTTGAAAGGCGATGGTACCTCTTGTTGAAGAGAAGACACGGTTGCATAGCAGCGATGGGAGAGACAAACAAACACACAGACATGAAGAATAAGAATAAGCCTACTTTAGGAAAGTAGGCCAAAAATAAGTATATCTGACACCAGTGTTACGCGATTTGTGTGTCACGCAACAAATAAGTCCACGTAGGTCTCAAATTCAGTAGAACCTTTATTGTTCTTCACACCTACACAATCACACGCTTTACACTTGTTAGCACTTACAGTATTACAATGACTGCTTACACAATATCTCGGCCGGCACATCTGTATCTCTAGGCATTTATAGCGAGACTCTTATCGAATGTATTGCCTTCTTATATGTCTGCGGCCGTTGCTATGCACTGGACCTTCTGTTGTAACCGTGGAGACTCCTGTTAGAACTATAATATCACTATTGCTGTTTCCAATGCAACGGTCTGTTCCAGCGTTTCCATAGAAATGACTTCTGGATTCCAAACACGTTACATTACATAAGTTGGCCGCACCATAGCTCAAGCAGTCGCTGGCTTCCCGCCGCGGTGGCCTGAGTTCGATCCCGGGATCTGGTCAAGTGAGATTTGTGGTGGACAAAGTGGCTCTGGGAGGGTTTTCTCCGAGTACTTCGGTTTCCCCTGCCAATCTTCATTTCACCAAATTCTTCATCATCATAATCACCCGTGGCAGGATACAATAGGCCAATCAGTGGCCGCCGTGCCGAGTGGGCCCAGTGGGACTCCACCCCCCACTAAGTGAATTAAAAGAAAAAATATACCTAACCAATATTTCCAACATCAACAGTTAAAGTGGGAAGCGCACGCCACTGCGTGGTCAAAGAAAAAGAGAAGATGGAAATGCACTCATGCACGTACCGAGCAAACAAAGAGAAGCAATGAAATTCAATAACATTTCCAATATCAAATGTTAAAATAAGAAACGGAGGCCATTATATGATCAAATAAAAGAGAGACATGTGAAATGCTCCCTTGCACATTTCAGGATAACAATAAGAAAATGATTTATGGCTGAAAAAGAAGAAACGAAAAAAGAATTCCAAAAGTCGAAAAGCAGTTGTAAGTCTATTTGAACGAACTATGCGGTCCAATAATTTTAGTATACATAAAAAAAATAATCAATCTCAAAATATTATTTACTTCATAATCTGTCCTTACAGGGGTTCCATACCGATTAATATGTGAACACGTGTCAAACTCCGGTTGAAACTTACATCGAGAAGTAAAACTTGTATCTATCGCAGTTCAAACTAATTAAAAGACATGATATTTCCATGGAGAGCAATGAATTAAATATCAAATATTAAACATTTATCAATACACTTTGCTGAAATAAAGCAAAATATTGTACAGCAACGATTCTCAAATTCGGTAAAGAGTAATTTGTCGTGCAGCCGTCAGCTATATTAAAACAAAAAAAAAAAATGTTTTTTTGAAGCGTCTTCCAGTCTTGAGACAGTTTGTTTTCGCACTGACTCTTTCTACGTCCGTGTGTGGATCTGTGCTAGAAGTTCGCCTCTATTTCTTGAAACAAACTGCCTAAAAAATTTGCCCTACTGAAACCTCCTTGGAGGAGTTCTACCTTCTGGTATGTAACACCGTCTTTCAGTTGAAACTTATCTGACATTTCGGAGGAACATTTTCTTCCAGCTTCAGGGTCGAAGAGTACGCTAAATAATGAACCAGCGTGAACGGACTGCACGGCTTTGTGCCCCATAAACTAGAACTCGTAACCATGGATGTGAGGACCTCAGATCCTACAAGTAATATTCTTCGGCTACATGCGGAAAAAGGATAATATGGGCAGGGCATGTAGCAGGAGTTGGGAAGAAGAGAAATGCATAGATGTTATTGGTGGGAAAGCCGGAAGGAAGGAGACCACTGGGAAGACCAAGACGTAGGTGGGTGGACAATATTAAAATTGATCTTAAAGAGATAGGATAGGATGGCATGGTTTGGATTGATCTGGCTCAGGATACTGATAGGTGGAGGGCTCTTGTGAACACAGTAATGGACCTTCGGGTTCCATAAAATGTTGGGAAATACTTGAGTAGCTGCAAATTGAGAGATTCTCAGGAAAGACTCAGCTGCATGAGGGAGTGAGTGACATGTGGAAAAATGTCCTGTGAGCATCCTCAATTTAGTGGGCTGCTGTGAATTAGGGTAATCACATCTCTCTTATGATTTGCTTTAAATTGTAAATTAATAACAGTAACCTTTACCAGGCCGGTCACGGTAGCTGAGCGGTCTAAGACATGTACTGTCTTCAATCGATCGGAAGCCGGAATCGTGGGTTCGAATCCCACTCAGGGCATGAATGTTTAGTTTGTATGTGTGTGTGTGTTTTTCTGTGTTTGTGTACAGGTAGAGGCCTTGCGACGAGTTGATCACCCTCCAAAGGAGTCCTACCGAATGTGTATGATCTAGAAAAACCGAAGTGAACGGAGAAGTTCATGGAGGTAGGCCTAGGCCCATTGGGGCTGTAGTGCCAAGAAAAAAAAAGAACCTTTACCAGACAATTTTTACATGCAAAAAGTTATGCTACATGATCACAGCACAGGTTATATATATATATATAACCTGTGCTGTGATCATGATCATCATATATATATATAATGAATACGGTTATGGCAAGTTTTGGTTAAGACTTTCTATTTTAAGGGTAATTTTTTGGATTACTTTTTGTGTGACGTTTTGTAGTTAAGTTCATTTACTTTGTATTTAGTCTGTGTTTAACGAAACTTCCAATTTCTGACTTATACAGTGTCGTATGACACGATGAATTTTTTCCCCTTCCTCTTCGCTCCAACATTGGAGCATTAGGCTGATTTCGCAGTTTAACTGATAATTTTTCTACAGACGGCAGGACTCCTTGGATCGGTGAGCAGCTCGTCGCTAGGCCTCTACGTAAACACAATAATAAATAAACGCATACACATACCAAACATTCATACCTTATGTGGGAATCGAACCTACGATCCCAGCTTCCGAGCGAGCGAAGACAGGTCATGCGTTAGACCGCCCGACTACCGTGACCGGCAATATATAAGAATTCAGTTCGTACCTCACATGAAGCAGATCCCTACCCACGGTCCCGGCTTCCGAGCGAGCGAAGACAGTGCATGCCTTAGACCTCTCGGCTACCGTGACCGGCATACGATGCATAGTTAATAATTATTTGTAAGAATGTGAAAGGAAGGGGTTAAGCCAAATTCATTCTGCTAGTTCTGCATTTGTCAGGAGTGACTGAAGAAAGCATGAAAGTTTTCAGTCAGGAAAATCGGTCTCCTGGCCGAGATTTGAAACCAAGACCGTTGGACTAAATAGAAATTCTAATTCCTTAACTTGTTGCAATAAGTGTTTAATGTTTTGAAGCTGGATTCATTACTACGTATTAAGCTCTGAAATAAATTTTCCTGTAACTTGTATGAATCTTATTTCGAAAAGACACATCATCAGAGGTGACCAAGCTGATAAATTTCACAGTCAGGAAGATGGAAGCCGCCCCCTCGATGCGAAACGCCAGACCAAACAAGAGGAGTTTGGTGTAAGTCTATATTTTACAAGCTTCTTAACTTATACATACGATATTCTTAACTTGATTAAATAATGGATGTAGCATACACGTGGAGAAACAAGAAATATGTGCAAAATATTCTTTATAGAGACCTCAGATGAAGGAAATATTACGTCATTGAGTCTTAGGTTGAAAAAGCTATTTCAGCCGTACAAGCTTTATAGCGACAAATGGAATGGAATGGAGGAAGCCATTTTGATCTGTTGGAAGGTCCTAACACTTCATTCGGAGGAAAGCCACGAAAAGATGCAGTAACGGGCCTAGGCTCGGACTGGTTATGCCTATCTCTCGGATATATATTTGAAAATAATAATAAAGGAATTTGTGAAACAGATTTAAAAATTTAAGCTTACTTGTTTAATTCTCTGATGAGGCCAGATTGGTAGAGGTTGATGTGGCTAGTGAGATGAGATGCAGGTCTAGGAGCTTCTCCAGTCACATGTAGTAAAAACTGCAGAATGTGATTTTCCGCGTGCCATGGACAACCATATTCTGTTCACATCGTAAAGGTGGCTGCAGCATTGCCAGCATAACTTTTTCTGAAGGTCATCTGCTACAACGAGACAAACGCTTCTCTCATGCTGTAGCATAAGGGGAGACAGTGTGCTCGTCATAACTTCGCGTATCACTGTCTCAGTATGACAAATCAAGCAAGCAAACACATTCCCCCTCTTTCTCTGATTACCCACAATTCAACGCTGGGGAATGTAACAGTGGAGTATCGCGCCTTTTCTCGTGTTCGGCAGGCCGGCTGTGGGTTTGTGTTCTTTTTATAAGTTTCGTCAGCAAATACATATATTTTCGTTAAAGTAAGTGCTTCATAACAAGTTAATCGTACGTAGCATTTCTGTGTGCAGCGAATTCTTTCTGTAGTAGTCATATATAAGTTTCGAAGTGTATAAAGTTGCGTGGAGTGATTTTAACCTATACACAGGATCCATGTGAGTTGCAGGCTTGTCACTGGATGAAATTTATTAACTTCTAGACGTGATATTGGAGCCAGGATTGAAGGTAAGTTTTTTAAGTATAAATTTGGAATAGTTATTTCACTCTGTGTTGGCTATGTAAGGCCTCCTGCAGCAGTAACCAAAGGGTAATATTTATTTTCTGGAATAGGTCTGTATAATACAGGAATGCAATGGGTATACGAGGATATACTCTCTGAGCACTGAATGTGGGTAGTACTTTCCCCATTTTACCTACTAGCGATGTTGGTTACCTCTATGCTGAGCCAAGTTCCGTTCACTCACTCTTCGCCAAAATCCACTTTAGGATTCAGAAACTAAGTTATAAGTTAGACAGCGCCATAACTCAAGCGGTTAGTCACTGGCTTCCAACCGCGGCAGGCCGGGTTTGATCCCGCGTCTGGTAAAGTGGGATTTGTGGTGGACAAAGTGATGCTGGGGCGGGTTTTCTCCGAGTACTTCGGTTTCTTCTGCCAATCTTCATTCCACCAAATTCTCAAACATCATAATCACCCGGGGTAGACTACAATAGGCCAATCAGTGACCGCCGTGCCGAATTGACCCAGTTTGACTCCACCACCCACTAAGAGAATTAAAAAAACTCGACTAACAAGTTAGAAGTGTATCCCTTGTCGATTCGAACAATGAGAGATTTGGTTATTCTGTATATCAATGAACTAAAGACGGATTAGTGACAGTGACTGAAACTATGCTTTTTTAACACCGTTAGTTACTAATTCCGCGTAGCAGTGTCATTCTTAAGAAGTTAATTGTCATTTATATAATCAAGAAATCCCATTAAGCTTTAATATCATGTTTAAAATTATTATTGCCGAACCTTACTCTGAGCCAGATTAAACCATCCCAGATATTCAGATGCATGCCCGTCACAGTGGCCGTGCTGTCTACGGCATGAACTGTCTTCGCTCGCTCGAATAATGGGATCGTGGGTTCGAATCACACTCAAGGCATGGAAGTCTGTGTGAATTTATTTTGTGTTTTTCTGTGTCTGGGTAGTGGCCTTGCGACCGGCTGATCTTCCGTCCAAGGAGTGCTACCAACTCTGTATAGCATTAAGAAACTGAAACAGCGGCAGAGATCCAACAAAGGGCCGTAAAACCATAGATAGATAGATAATTAGATGCCATTTCCTGAAGATCTATTTTTACGTCACGTTCCCATTTATGTCTGGGTCACCAAAATCCTCTCTTCTTTTTAGGTTTTCCAATCCGAATTGTGTAAGCATTATTCAAGCATTCATTTGCAATATTTCCCACTCACCTTACACTTGTAGAATTAAACACTCCAAGAATGTTATTGAAGAGCAATACCTGTATTGTTCTTCTGTGTGTACACTACATGTATCTTATCGTCTCACTTCCTCCTTATATGTAAACCTCCATTGCATAAAAGAATGAAAGGGATGAGATATGCTGGACATGTAGCAGGTTTAGAAAGAAGAGATATAGGCAAGAGACACGAAGTAAACAGGAATGCTGGGAAACAGAGGAATAGATTGTAGATTGAGTGATATTGTACTAGACTTTAAAGAAGCTATATGTGAGTGTGGCTGTATTTAAGTATTTTATTTTATTGCTAGTGGAGTGGGACTAAGTTCCTTGTACTGCCGGCCACTTCTGGCCTATTGTACGAGCCCCAGATGATAGGTGAGGGTGATTGTGGAGCAGTTGGTGGAATGAAGATTGGCAGGGGAAACCGAAGTACTCAGAGAAAACCTACCCCAGCGCCACTTTGCCCACCACAAATCCCACTTGATCAGACCCGGGATCGAACCTGGGCCGCCGCGGTGGGAAGCCAGCGACTAACCGCTTGAGCTATGTCGCGGCCCTGTATTTAAGTAACTCAAGATAAGGAGTAGTAGGAGACCCTTGTAAAAACAAAAATTATATTTCAGTTTCCGTAAAATACTCATAATTCGTGAGTAATTACTGAAGTACTATAAACCCTCCATTATCTGGAAGTTGACTTTTCCTAATCAAGTGAGCGACTATAAGCTTCCAAAGAAAGAATCTGCTTCATTTCTTTGGCGTAGTGGCCTATTTCTTCACTTCCACGGCTTCAGGATTGTGTTAAGAGAATATGAAAATTCAGAATGGAGCTTATTAGAACTCTGATACCTGACGGTATTTCTTTCCTTCTATCTGTGAACACATTTTGTCAGTATTGTTCCAAAGTTGGAAAGGTCTTAACATTTAACGCAGGGTTCTAACCTTTCACACTGGGTCAGATCTCTTATAATTATGCGGTTGATATGAAATTAATTAATTTTATAAAAATGAATTTTACTGACTGACAAATAATTTTTATTGAAAGTAATATTAACTGAAGTCATAACAAAATTACGCAAATCTATCTCCTGGCGTTACAAAGTCACTTAAATATACATGATCCCTTGGAACCTTTAAGTGCACCATTCTACTACAGAATTATGAGCAGAGGACAAATTAATATTCAACCTTCTTTCAACTATCTTTTCAGGTTATGAATCTGTTCGATTTGTATCGTTTATCTTAAGAGAATTTGAACCTGTGATCACAGAGCTTAGATAGCGTCAATACACAGACCTGTAAAATGAAAGAACCAAGTACTGATTCTTTAAACTCAAAAACAAATTTAGCGTTGAACTTAATGTTTTATTTTATCCAACCAAACTTATACAACGCGCGCATTGTTGGTTTCTGAATATGTACTTGGATACTGTAAGATTTCTGCATTTAATTAGCTAATTAAGAATCTGATTACTACAGTTATAAGCTCAACAAAGGATGCTAGTCTTATCACATTAACTCATAACATTTCTTCTGTTAAGCTTGTTTATTAGATAACCTCTCCTTTTTGCCAAGAATATGGTGCATTTCGTGAGAAAAGGGAGTAACAAAGACCCGCTAGGCAGCATTACAAGTTTAATATCTAAAATTATAAGACACTGCTCTTGGTTGGTTAATGTTTTGTTTTATGATGTTATATCAGCTGTGCAGATGTGATTCCTGGTGAGAAGTAGGATGATAGCTGCATTTTGATGCGTGCAAAGAAAGCAACAATTTCCCGAGCGAAGGACGGGAACTTTTGTCTTTATGTCGCGATGCTAGTAAATGTATTCATACTGTTCATTAAATTAGTCTTTTCCGCTGCACGGGTTTCCTTTCATGAGCTACCATCTTCAGGTCAAATTTTCGCTGAACTTAAAAAAATACGTCAGATATTTCTAATAATTAAAAGCAGGATTATAATGAAAGTTTTGTTTATTTCTTCACGGTTGATATAGAAAACATTTTTTAAGTACCATATATGAAGCAGAGTACAGGAAAGAATTATAATGTACGGTTTAAAGTATAATCAAAGTACATTGGCAGCTTGTGTGTAGGAATCTTGGAGCTATTCACTGAGCATACTTAAAATGGTATTGTGAAGAATACATTATGGCATGTAGGCCAGTTGCTAGGCAATTACAACAAATGAAACCACTAAACAACGGCTGTTACTAAGCAACGGCTCGTTAACAACAACAGAGGAACGGCATTTTTGTGCTGTCCATACCGAGATATTATAAGCAGGACAACTCTGAAGGTGTTGAGTTAAGTTGAGTTGAGTTGAGTTAGTTGATGAGTGACCGAGAACTGCTGAGGTGCAGTCATTGTGAGCTGTTCCTGGGAGAAGGTGGTTGCTGAGGCCGGTGACAGCTCGGTAACTCAGGGGTCACGTATTGGGTGTATAACGCGACAAATAACTTCACGCCGTATTTGATATAGCGAATTTTATTTCGCATTCGCACTTACAATCACCCAAATTACAGATTCACAATTACTGCTATCTGCAGTATCACAAATACTACACTCCAAATGCCAGAATGCAACTGACTGGTTGCTGGCTAACTCGGAACTCTCTCGGAACTAACTCGTAGGTAGCTGCCTTGAGAAATGTTGATCACACACTGGCTCGACTACTACTGAACTCGGCGATGGCCACCTTTCAACTAACTCGCAGCCGCTGTGCAGTTCCCTTATATAGCCGCAGTGCTTGCCTGTTGCGTAATGAGTGCCGTCATCCTGTTACGTCACCGAGCGTTGCGCGCTACGTTACCGTGAGAAGGGGGGTGGGGGAGCGCTGACTCACCCGCCGTGTCACTGCTGGTGGGGGGTTCTCCGTTGCGCAACATGTCACACTGCTCCCTCCTTAAGGCTGTTCGTCCCGAATAGCCTAACGGTGCATCCCCGTTCTTTTGCTTCGGAGGCTGTTCTTGCAGCATCTGTTCTCCGGCCGTTACAACGGCTCCCTTCTTAAGATCAACTCATCTCGAGCGGTTTCCTTTCAGCTCGCCAGAAGATCCAGTTGTATCCCATTCGTCCATCGCTTTCTCCCATGGCACATTCATTCTCTTTGGGGGGGGGTCGGTTCTTCTACATTATCGGTTCCTCCTCTGCTTGAAGTCTCTTTTTCCGTTTTGGAGGGCGTCGTCCCCTCCACAAGGTCCAATCCTTGATCAAGTCTTCCGTCGGAAGTTTCTTACATCGACGTAACAGCTCTTGATGCGTTGTTTGCACTCGCTGACGTCGTTGTTCCTCCTGGACTTCCAGCCGCTGGCTGGTTCGAGACCGTGGCGCCAAGTCCTTTCTCCGGCATCCGAAGGTTCCCTGGGGAGTTTCCTTCTTGAAGTCATTTCTCCAACGTCGTTCCACGGTCGCGCGACGGGATGTCTTCCTGCAGATGGCAGCCAACTTTATCCGGGACGCATGATCTCCTCGGGTCCAAGATTTCCTGAAGATGTTCCTCTTGCGCCATGCCACTCTCGCATGGCGGGACACCTTCCTGCTGACGACGGCCAATTTATTCTGGGGTCCACAACTTTCCCGTGTCGAATTCTTCATATTTCGTCGATGACGGTCCCTGCGCCTTTTCTTCTTCGGTTCTCCGACCGGCATTACTTCGGCGTCTTGTACGGGTACCTCTCGTAGTTCTGCCGCTTCAGGTCTCATGTCCACTGAGGCTGGCTCTTCTTCTTCTAGACGTGCCTCCATCTCTTGGCAG